TCCTCTCGCAGTGCGCGCATGTGGTCCTCCGCTGCATCCAGCTGTGCGTCAACGAAATGGAGTAGAGAGTGCGCATCGAAGTGCACGGGCGACCGATAAAACGAGTGCCTCCTGACGCCCAACAATGCGTTCGCGTTCCGCTGTTCGGGTGACGACTTCGGTACACTTTCCTCGGGCATGTCCTTGCATAACGAGGTTGCAACGTCAGCCAGAAAACGGTACAGGCGCTGTTGCCTCTCTAGAACAAGAAGCCCATCGCCAGCATTCATCCGTATTTGCCTCGTCTTTGCGCAATCCACGTCACGCTTCAGCAGCTCTCCGTATCGATTGCCAGCGTCATTCTAAAACACGACGTCGTAGGTTTCAGCCAAGTGTTTTTCCTGCTGAATATTCGAGGTCATGACGCCAAATTCTACTGCCTCGCGGTCGGCGAAGATGAAATTATAAGGTGGGTCATGGCAACGGGCGCTCAGGAAATCCAAAAGTGTGTTCTCATCCTTCAATGCCCGCAAGCTAATATCAGGCCACATGAATACCGCAGGGTTGTCGGAACTACCATCATAGCCGGTTCGGTTGTACTCCCAGAGATCAGGTCGTTGCAAAATAGGCATCTTTTGCCATGCTTTTTCAAGCCGGTTCTGGCGTTTTTTAGTATTGTACTTCTTCCAACGGAACTCGATGGTCGAATAGTTCTCCATCAACAATTGCAGCCGAGCATAACTCTTTGTAATACTCTCTGACGACTGTAAGATCTTCTCACCGATCTCATCGCTGGTAATTGTCGACATTTTCCTCTTTTTGGGGGGCAGGGGATGACGTTGCTGATGGCAGTGGACAGTCAGGGGTCAGGGAACAGTCACGTCCGATTCGTCTGTCACGCGTGGATTTACTACCAAGTGAACAGTGAAAAGGGGAACACTCGTTGGCAGCACACCCGCAGATATGCGTGTTGATTCAGCAGCAATGACAATAATTAACTCAGACCGCCACTGGTTATAGAGAGAGAGAGAACCACCTAAGGGGGGGGGGAAGGGGAAACTGGTTATTCAATACCATCAATACCGTATTTTACAAGCGGGGTGTATTACCCGAATACTCTTTCCGACAACGGGCGGGATATATGACTAAAATTGCGTATGCGGGTGCTTGGATGTAACTATTCGAGAATTGAATACATTGCAAAAGATCATAAGCGGAAGTCTTGCCGTAAGAGACGAATTCAAAAGTGCCACTGAGTAAAGCAAGGGAAAGCCGGAGGGAAGCTGCGAGAAAGAGCCAAATTTGGACTCCGGAATAAAAGTATTTCCGTAACACCAGATCACAGTACAATACGGTCATGATTGTGACAACCCTGTGACAATCTGGGGTAACAGCTGTCGTAACAGATGGATAAGTTCGGTCGCATGAAGTACCCAGACCCAACTTCAAAGACACAACTTTCACGAGACATGGAAGGAGACATTAATATCTGCCTGAAATTATACGTAACGTAAAAATCAGATATCCTGGACCCCTGTGACGCCGGAGCGAGAAATGATTTTTGTTCCACAGTGTACCTTAATTCCCCGTTGACGGAAGTTCGCGCAGCCCCCTCTGGATCAACTCGATATATCATTGACCTAACAATAGAGAGCATTCAATTAGAGAGGCAGAGAATAACACACATGTAATTGTATATAATAATAGTTCCTTTTCCTGTTGTTCCTTTTCCTGTTTTTATCTCCAATTGTGTTGCAGGTATCTAGGAGCCTTTTCAGCACACCTACACACCGCCTTATTTCGGCACCTCATATATCCGTTAGCCTTGGCATGGACAGTCTTTTTGATCCGCCTTTCGGCGGAAGGACATGACGAACACTTGATAACGTAACTTAGTTCTCGGTCAACCCAATAACCCCAAAACCCCATATTAAATGCGATTTTTCACAACTTCATATTTCAACCCATAAGGCGCATGGTATAGTCTTAGGACAATTCAGTTATTTTATCAGGCTGGAAATAATTTAGGGTGCGATAACATTGGTATATATACCTATATTGCTCTCTTGGAGCGTATTTTTGGTAATATGGGTAAATAGTACTTTTATGAATATTTCATTTATCCTACGCTGTTTCTAATACTAAGGATTTACATATTAACGTCAATCCCTCTGCAACCGCCTCCCGCCGCACCCACTCAACCTCAAGATACTTTGGAATCAAACACCTAAACGAGAACAATGCGCGATTTAGTTGCGGCAAAAGCAAGATTATATTGTTTGAGACTACTTAACCCTCGATAAAGTCCAATTTTCACCCAAAATTACGTCCATCTTTGTGTATGTTTCAACGCGAGAATTGCGACCGTGTGCTTTGGGTTATCTCTTAAAATTCGGTCAAATCCAACATGGCTCACAAATTCCAATTCTTCAGGGTTAAATGCTTTACCCCAATAGTAAGTAGATACGTTATAATAGATTCAACGAAAGGATTTCACCTTTTCCTTGCGGTTTGTAGTTAAAAAATCTTGATATACTCTCGCTCCCTGAGACTCTTGGGATACATTTCTTGCTTACTAAGAAGACACGTAAAATTACAATACATACGGTGTTGTAACAGATCTGTCCCGTAAACAACAAAGTCCAAATTTTGACCTGCATATAGTCACATGATTTTGGCTTCGTTGGGTCTGAGAATGATCGACTTGAACTCCTCATTGACGTCATCCGGACTCCGGCGGCCTGCTCCACGCACCAAATATCATCAACCACCATAAACTGGCTAATCGGACAGGATTTAAGCTTATGCGGCATCATCCCTACATATCCACTTTTAATCTCCTCCTCGCCCATACCTGAATTTTCTTACACTGTTGGATTCCTTTACAGGAGCATATTCACCTTTCGTATGCTTATCTCCAGCTCTCTTGTCAAAGTCATCAGCAGCTAGGCGAACTAATTCGCACCTAGTTCGTTAATACCATTCTACAATGAAAACTTTCCCTGAAGCCGATGTTATCTGGTGGAATGCTTCCAACTACTACGTTCACTGTCCATTCTGTGACGATGTTCATCGCCACGGCATAAACTGGGAGGCGGGGAAGTTGAGATACTCCCATTGTGAAATGATGGAGAGTTATTCATGCTGCTTCCCCTTGAACGACCAAGGTGAGGTCGCGTATGAAATCGACAAGAAACGAGGACGTTATAACAACATTTTTGTATCGCATGAGAGCGATAGGGAGGATGACGATGATGTTGATCGTCTGGCGATCCAATTAGCTCAAAAGGCTACGGTTGCAGTACACAGAGAAGAAACTTTTGCGAGTATTCACCAAAACGCAAAGGAGATCATCATTACCAATCCAGGACATGGAATCGGCCCATTTAAACAGAAAAGAATTTCGCAGCCGATTAGTGACTGCGCCCTCGGGGATGTGAAAGCGGTTCAGAATTATTTGGAGACATCTAGTGAAGCCCACTTATTTCTCGAGGGCCGTGATTCCGATGGTCAAACGAACCTTATCAAGGCAGCAGCTCAACAGAGCTTACCGATGGTATCGCTTCTCATTGAGCATGAGGCTGAAGTAAATGCTGCTGCCAATAGTGGAAGGACTGCGTTGATGGAGGCAGCACTCTTTGGTTGGGTCGAGAACGTCAAGGTTCTCCTCGAGAACAATGCAGACAAAAGTATGCGAGATAGCGAAAACCGACAGGCCATTGATTTTGCTCAAGACAAGCACCGAAACAAACGAGAGATATACGATCGTACCGGGGGCAACTCCATGTCTTCATCTAATCGACGACTGGGTTATATCGAGGACCCATTCCTGAGAGACATTGATCGTCAGGAAATTGTACGCCTCCTCGGAGGAGAGAACCGGAAGTCAAAAATTGTTTTTGGGAGACCTCCCACCTTAATCATGTCCGAGTCCTACTCTTTCAAACACTCGCCAATGCAAGACTCGCTTGTATTATATGGGCCAATTGAAGAATATCCGATTAGCCGAAGATCGCAGACGGTGGCGCGCCTGGAACGAGGCGGGAAATTCCCTTCCGTTGGCGCTATGAGCGGATGGTCACATCCCTCTGTCCAGTCTCTCAGGGTCGACGGCAGGCAGTGGACCGATGATGTATTTTACATCTCGGAAGTCGTGGGCCATCTTTTGCCTTGTCACAACTACGATCAGGGTAGAGATGGTCAATGCAATGCTTGTCACGCAGAAAAGCAGTTGATTGCATACTTCATTGATCGTCATGTATTCCTCCCACGCGATGGACAGCCGGACTCAGAACTGGAGACAGAGATTGAGTTAAATGACGATAAGCTTGAGGAGTTCCTTTCAACGACTCAAACGGGACGCCAAGTTACGTCTCTCAGAAAGAGAAAGAAGGACCTAGAGAATGAGCTATTCGATGGGGATGAAAAGCTCGTCGGTAAACATGATCAAATCCGGGCTTTAAAGTTGGAGCTCAAATCTGTTGAAACCACCCTAAACCGGCTAATCGCTACACCCCAAGCCAGGCCGCTTTTATGGTTAGAAAGCCAACTGGAGGTTCTAAATCACCAAAAAGACAGACATGAGGACCTGACCAGAATGGCTAATGCGCCACCCCCGGCTTCATTAACCGAGGCGGTTATATTGATCAGCTCGCCTCCTTGCCAGGACTGCATCATGTTCAAAGACAAAGTCAATAGTTTTTTTGGGTTGTCTTTACAATTATTCGCGGCACTTTGACTTATCCCAGCTTTGAATAGGTACACAAAGACAATTACGGATTCGTGAGGAATGCTGAGGTTTCAGCCGTCTTTAATACCGTACCGCTGAAGGTTTCTTGATATTTATCATGTGACTTGAGAGCTTCTGTCGCTCCGTCCTCACTGAGACGGGCTAGCTTTGTTCATACTTTGAAATGCCAAAATTGCGCTATGATCTCTTGGACTGTAGCACATATATATTGCATAATTAATCACAATCTAAAAGTAACCTAACTGACAAAAGCAGAAAGAAAGGCGGCCTGTCAAAAGCTAATAACCGAGCAGTAATCTTTAAAGCCCCAGGTTTGTATTTCATCCTCAGCCCTTCGTACATCGTCACTGCAAGATCGTTTCGCTCGACGCCCACTGCTGGAAGTTTTCTTGCGCTTTCCACCCTGCGAGGCCTTTTTTGCTTCAAGGTTGCGCTGGGCCTCGATTATATCCTCATAGCTCATGACTTTAGCATTGCCCACCTTGCGTGCTGGCTTTGATGTTCGAGTTCGTTTTTCATTGTTCTGTACCAACAGCCGGTCGTTGTCATTACGAAGAAGTGCACGGTCCGCAAATGCCTTCTCCGCAGCGTGGGCAAGACGGTTGACGAGAAGCTTAGAATCTTCGTCCCACCCACGAGCTTCTTTTGCATCTTACGACACAGCGATTTTAGACCGTCAGCCGTGATGGGTGTTTGTGGTGTTTGTAGCAGCTCTACACTGTCAGAGTAACGGACCACTGTAGCAACATTCCCCCTGTTGGAGCAACTGGCTCTTGGAGGCGGCTGAATGTCCTTCCAGTACCCGGTCAGGATTCCAAGGAAATAATCCAGTTTTAGACCAGCCCGCGTTGATGTTACGAGGCGTTACAGCAGAGCTTCGCGCCCGGCTATAAAGGGATGTGAAATGCTCCAACCGCACAGCATTAGCTCCACCCCCCGATATAACAGTTCTACTTGTTCCCGATAGGCAGTTTTCAGTGCACTGAACACACCCACATCACACGGCTGAAGCTTATGCGAAGTATGTGAGGAAGTCGGCAGGGAATGATGTTATTTGCAAGACAAAACTTCAAGACCTCGAGGGACTCATGCGCAGCGAACCCGTCGCTGATCAAAAGGCGCGGCCGCTTACAGCACGAGCCTTCGTCTGAGGGTCAAAGACATGCTGGATCCAGTACAGGTTGATGGAGCTGTCTGTGTATCCATTCTTTGAGCAGGCAAAATGCCATCCGGGAGTGGGGTAAGTGGTCCAATTACTACGGTGGGTGAAGCAGGCCAAACAACCCAGGGGATTCAGAGACCTACCATCTGCTGATAGGCACTCAACGGCAGTAACCATTTTCCGTTTTACAGCAGCACCACGATATTTACACATCTCCTCCCGCCCTACTAACACCTTGAGAGCACCCAAACGCTCAGGAGGACGCCTGTCTCGTCCATGTTATAAACATTCTCGGCGAGGATCGCCGGATTGTCCAGCTCCGTCTTGATGACGCGCGAAACCAATCCTGCACCTTGTCGTAGATGTTGTGATCATGTCTCTTCCAGTCTATTGCTTTTAGTGTCCTCGATGTCAGCTCCGGGTGACGTTTGTAAAATGCTTGTGGCCAGTTCTTCCCTGGTGGGCGAGTGTCTTCATTGGCGACCGGGATTGGCATATGTGATGAGCGTCGGCGGGCGATCTCCCGGGCCAGAGCACGTAAGAATTTGACCGGGAGGGGGTAACCATTCTTCGATAACCGTAGCACGTATTCCAGCAACGACTTTTCTTCCTGCGGGAGTAAGGTATTGCTGTTCCACAGCCGCTCCTTTTTGGAAATCCTACCATGGTCACGATCACGTAGCGTAGAGCTTGGAATACCGCTAGACCTCGATAGGGCAGAGTAATTTTTGGGCTGTTCAGACTGTTCGTTTAGTGCGAGCAGAGTTGTTGCTGGGTCGTTGTGCTCGTTCATCGGATTTAGAGTGTTTCGGCGTGACAGGGAAAAGTGAAATTGGCTCTGGAGGTGGGCAACACGACTGACCCCGAGAAGCACGTGGGCAGAAATCTCTAAAATTAGAATCTTTACATTACATGCTCTGCGCAGTACGCTTTGTATGTAATGGGCTGTACATAATACCATCCTTAATAAGCAGACCATGTACCCTAGTAAATTCATGTGCGAACAAACAATAAAAATATTTCAGATGTGGACAGTGTGTAGAGGTTATAATTCTAGTAATTATTAATCGGAGGTATCTGTTTACTAAAAATTTCAAGCTTAATTCTTAAATAACGACTGAGTTGGGGACCATGGAAGCTTAGCACCAATTTGCCACAGAAATCTGGTTAGCAACGAAAGTTTATTTGGGATGAAATAAGCCAACAAATCAACGTAATTTTGGGTGGAAGCTGAACAGTCTATAATGAAGATATTAAAATCTTATTTCAAGTTGAGCTTAAGGATCCGCCACCAGTTGGTTGACTTTGCGGCATTGTCTTCCAAAGTACCTCAATCCTGAGCGGGTACGAGGGCACGGTTGCGGTGGGACAACGTTACTCAAAATCGAACATAACCTGCTTCTAGTTGTTGATACACCTTGACCTGAAAAATCGCATTTAGTATGGTGTTTTGGGGTTATCAGGTTAACCGGGAGTTACGTTACAGTGCGTGCACATTGAACTCGACACACAGAAAAATCACCGTCTAGGCAATATGGATCGAGAACGGTCTCACCACTTAACAGAACTTCGATCAATCAGTGCACGTTACGCAAATATGCTAAAGCTTGCATTACTAGCACACGGACCATTCTACAACAGCCTCCAAGTGCGGCGAGTAGGTCCTGATTCAAATAGGGGGGTCACTCAGAGTGCCGGGGAAATGTGCTCGGACGTTTACGTTATATGTATTTCCGTGGACAACAGTCGCTCAAATCTATTTCAAAAAGAGACATCAATGCCGAAGATTCGGCACATCCTCCAGACTCAATGGCTGCTATGCCTGCTTTCTGGCAGGAGAAAAGGATGATAAAGGCGCGATATTTTCCGGGCCTTTGGACGTCTGTGATGGCGTTGCCTCTCATGAGGATCAAATTTTGATCATGATCTTGACCAACGAATCTTGTCCAACCCATTAGACGCAATCCTATTGTCGGCCAGAACGTGTCGCCAGAACGTGTCGCCAGAACGTGTCGCCAGAACGTTCCGGTTCTAGCTCATCTATGAGGACGTTGAAACGCAGGTCTTCCATCATACTCTAGACAAGCAACTGTGCCCAGGTAAGACTGTCCGGGTCTACCTAGACTGAGAGTTGAGGGCAGACCAAGGAGTTTGCTCGGAAGATTACCCTAGAAAGTACAGCTAAGCTTACGTGATTTTCTATCTTCTCCAGCATAGACGTACCTGAAGTTGCACTAGATAATCTCGTGAACTGCTTGGAAAGTACCGATGTCTCCCATTCGGAGACTCAGTATCAGCACGGAGGGTTTCCAATATAGCATCGGGCAAGCCCAACGCCAACTGGGATGGTGCAGTACAGTAGAGAAGCCATACGGTCAAACTTCAAAACTAAATTAGATTCCACATGTTCTCTAAAGATAGCAGAAGACAGACGAAGTTGGAGAGTGAGAACACAGTCCGGGCGCCTGAGAAGCCGACCTAATAATACCTAATAATACGACATGGCTACATATGGATGTTCGCAGGATCTTTGACATGTGGCCTCTGCATATTTATCTTCGATGGCCGATTCAACATGTTGACTCGAGTGATTTATTTCCTTTCTTTTCTTTCTTCTTTTTGGATGTTTCACAGGTGCGAGGGAAGAGATATGTCTCGTCTTCCCAAAAATAAGAAGTCATTGTGCCGTGATGCTCTTCTTGCTCCAGAGCTCTAAATAGGTTCGCTCCATTACACATACCTACGATCGGCCCAAGATGATGCTGTAATCTGACACCGTTTGGACCGATCGTTCATTTACAATGGCGTGTGTTTGAAATAGAAATGGGACTGAAAAAGAAGAAGGGAAAGAAAGGGGACACTACTTCCAATTATACTGTATTCGGATCCTCAGAAAAGGAAAGCTAACCTATCTCAAACGCCATGCACTTAGAGTGTCATGAAAAAAAATACACGAGTTAGGAGTTCTTCGCAATCAGGATGCCTTTCACTTTAAGTCCGAGATCGTGCGCGGAGAAGAGTTCAAATGTTCTCGTACTCTCGAGAGGAGTTTATGCGGGATTACGCAGCAATACAAGCCCCGGAGGACCGACTAGGCCCTGGTGATCCTACGGCGCCCCTTTTCACATGCAAGGGCAAGGAGAAAATAATGACCGTTAAGGCCAGCACGCCCTCTCCTTCGCAGCTCCACGACAAATAGCGGTCGCATCTTGACGTTCTCAGGGCCTTGCCTTCGGCAGGGTCTCAGATGTCAAAAAGTGTTGCAAAGCGTCACATCACTACAGTGTACTCTACGTAGCAATATGTAAGGCCTAGATTTACTTTGTACCATGACCAATAAGGCCGATTCCGTTGATAGATCTTTGATCGTCACGATGGCTCTACCATCCTTTCCTACAGATGCTCAGGTCAGTGGCCGAGATGTTTAGCGTGTCTGGTATCTTTATTCTGAATCAGCTTCTCAGAGTCCCATTCTAAGCCCCTTGAGCCCAAAGCCTTCCCAGAACCTCGATAAGCTATACCTAGTATGAGCACAGGGTAGCGTAGCGGATACGGAGTATATGAAGATTATGAAATAAGGTGGTATTTCGGTGTAGAGCTTAATCAGATATGTACCTTTATCGCAGTTGCAGGTAGATTCATCAAATGATTCTATTGTCGTGTATCAACGTAAATCACCAGTAATTATCTTCCTCTCTCCTAACGCTCAATGATATCTACTTCAGCGTCAATAAGGTACGGCGGAGATTGGTCTGAGGTGACTGCACCGACAATGACGTCGCCGGGATAGAGAGAGTATATGTACAGCGGTGCTAGAATATTTTCCTCGCTCAAGTGCCACAAGATGGATTCAGAATGTCTAATTTTGAAATTACACGCATAATTCCAGATCTGATGTTATTAAATAAAGTACAGTACTAAGATGGGTGTGTTTTTACAATGTTTGCATGAGGACTCTGTCTCTGAAGTTCGGTCTTGGGACTTCCTTGAGGATGGCACTCGTACACCAATGTTACTACCAATTGTCAGAGGATCTTACGATTACAATCCTGGATTACAATTCAGTGTGTTACGGAAATGACCACACCTGAAACACCTTAACTTGTAATTCATGACCGACTACGGCACACCTCATAAACACAGTAAATGTGATAAATTAAAAACAAAAATATTTGAAAATGTCGTGTTAATTTAATTTAAATTTGTTTTTGATTTATCTATCCCTACAGAAAGTCAGTTTTTGTATTAATTTTAAAAACTTACTATTACCACTTTATATCTCAACAACCATAACTATTTGATGATGAAGATGCTAATTGTATATAATCCAAAATACATAGTTTTCCTACGTGACGAAACTATACTGGCAGAGAAAGTACTCGAAGTGATTGGAGAGATATATATATTTTCATGTTCCCACTTCAAAAATGTACGGCGTCATTTTATGATAGTAAAACATCTAAATTATCATCATTGCCTAAAGCTACAGTACTCTTCTTTCAAATGCCAAGTAAAGCCTACATACTTCTATTTAATTGAAAGTTTAGTATGATTGTTGAGATCTAAAGCGGTATTTTATCACATTTATTATGTGTTTTGGGGTGTGCCGCTGGACTGTGTGAGCTGGTCGGCTGTGAATTACGTTAGTAAAAGCGATGAATTACTACTCAACAACCATATGTCACTTTTACTTGAATATTATGATATAGGCTTTCCTTGGCATGTGAAATGATTTACCTTACCTTTGATTTCGCATTTGGATGATTATTTCTGTGCCTTATCACACAGCTACGCGGTAAATTGACCTGCGGGATGTGAATATATCCGTTGGAGATCTAGAACTTAGGCTGACGCGGGATCACAGTCACGTCCTGCCGATTGAGTTTTCCTGCAGGCGGCGATGGGCGTATATCATGAATCTACGGCATGAGCTTAATCAATCCATGACTAGGTGACCGCTGGAGGGAGGAATAGTCTATCGCTGAGGGTACAAGTTCTGGAGGTGCGGATCAATGGCGGAATCTATGGCGGATATGATTCTATGTTGGAACGCTCGGCCGTATTGTTCTTAACCAGCTATATGCTCACGAGAAGCAGATAGGACCCGTGACTTGCATCCCAGAGTATCTTAAGTCCACTATCTATGCTTTAGAGTCCCGGCCATCTTTTCTAGTCTAACGACGGATGTGGTTTGCTAGTCAGCACGAAATCTTCGAAGAATTGAGATTCTGTGACAATATTTTATGTAGGAGAGTTGTACGTGCCGCTAGCAGCGGGGGACAATGAAGAGCGCAGAGGCACTGAAAGCACCCAGAAACTGACCTCTCACCCAACTGGTCGTCGACCTGAATTGATCCACTCAAAACAAAGGCTGCGACCTTCGATTTTCACAGGCCACACGTGGAGAAGTGGTCTAGAATTGGGTTGGATTGGACGCTTAAAGTCACTGACAAATTGGCCGTGACGGCAGGCTTGCAGCAGTCTGCAAACAACTGGTCCCAAAAGGATGCCTGGTAACCGCAGCGTGGATTTTGCCCAGGTAAAAGCAAATTCGTTGCATGGCTCGAGAACTACCGCCGTCGCCTGCTGGCCAAGCTCACCTCTGCAACTCCGGTCGGTATCCATACAGCAGGGTTATGATGGAGGAAGTTTGTATAGGGGAGTTTTTCGAGAATCGTGACGAAAGGCGAACCGTTCAGACCCTGGCAAAAGCTTGAAGCCATCAGCGCTAGTGATCCGTCGCTCAGTCCACAAAGTTCTTCTGCCAAACGTGAGCATACCACAGTTTGAGGC